GGGTAAGTACCTGGCGCTCTGAAATGATGATTTCTGACCTTTACTCTGCAGGAAAATATGTATCGTTTGTTGCTTACAGATTTGGTCACTTAGTAGGACCACTCTACGTGAAGATTATTCTTCCATAGCGTTTACTAAGTTTTTTTAGTGGATTTTCAGTGTGTATTTGTAACGTTCTATACAATTTTTGTATTTCATTTCCTTATAACATATCATTTCGTAAGCAGGAATCGGTAAAAGAATGCTAGGAATATTATACGGTGCCAGAATTTGCAGTGAGCAAATTGCAATTACTATGTACTTACTGCATGCTTGGCTAGGGATTGGCTTCGAAGTAAATATAGATTGGCTACAAAATGGTTACTATAATTGTATTGGATGTAGCTACTACGTGGTTACCCTATTGTCACCCCCTATCAGATTCGAAGTAAAATGTTTGTAGCAGAACCTAGAAGTACAGTGTAGTCGGAGGCATTGTGGGTGCATCGGATCTCGCATGCAGCCACAGGGTGACTACATTGTATCTCGAGCGGAATTTTTTGGGATGAATAGCCGATTCGCGATGGCAGAGGGCCGCAACAGCAGAGGTGCGAGGAGCAGCAACAATGGCGGGTGGCCAAACAGGAGGCGCAAGCCTGGGATTTGTTGAGCGACGTCATAATTTACAGCGGCGAAACTACATTGGCAATCGAAGGACGTTTCGAGCGTCCGGTAGTGCCGCAAGCGCTATTGCGTCTGAGCGACAGACAAGCAACGACACAGCGCGATGTACGGCAATGAGGGAGCGACGGACTACGACCAGAGACAGTAGACGGCGACCAGAGACAGTAGACGACGACCGGAGCGTCGACGGCGGAAAACCGACTATAGACGACGATGAAGTGACAAAATCGTTCCGCGATGGCGGGGAGCCGCGGCAGCAGATGCGCGAGGAGAAGCGGCAATGGCGGGTGGGGCAAGCACGCGCGCGTAAAGGGGGCTCCCAGCGACGGAAGTGGCCGATACAGCGGTGGCAACAGAGGCGGCAGCGGCGGAAACAGCAGCGTCGCTGCGAGCAGCACAGCACATCATGTCGGAGCGGCGGCGGCAGTGGCAGCGCCGGTCGCACTCCGCCTGGACCAATTCCTTACCGCCGTCCCAGCCGCCGGCGCTACCGCCACCGCGTCCGCCGCCATTCCTGCTGCGCGCACGCCTCTACCGCCGCCTCCGCGAGTGTCCGCGGAAATGGGTTTGTGGGCCAGTGGCAGGGGGAGCGCAGATTGGGGCAGCAGTGACGGACGGCCGTGCGGAAGGGGAAGGGGAGGCGGACTGGGGAGTGGAGTCGCAGGAAGGGGAGGAAGAAGGGGGGATGCGGGTTTGGCGGAAACGAAGCGAGGGGTGGGAGAAGGAGGAGCAGAGGGCGGAGCAGGACGGGGGAGGGTGGGGCCAGGGAGAGGAGAAACGAGGGAGGGCTCAGAGGTGGGAGAGGGTAGCGTGGGATCAAGAGAATGTGGGATGAGGGGAGTGTGGGCTGGAGGGTAAGGGGAAAGAGAGAAGCATTGCGAAAGGAGAGGTGGAAGCTGCATGGTGGAGGGTAGGGCGAAAGGAGAGGTGGAAGCTGAGTGGAGGGGAGAGGCGAGGGTGGGGGAGTAGAGAGTGGACGAGAGGGGGATGCATGGGAGGCAGACGGATAGGAAACGAATGTGGAGGAGGTCCCGAGGCCAGGCGTGGGGAAAGCGGGATGGGTAGAGGGTGGGGGAGAGGAGGGTGCGGGGATGATTATGCGAGACACTTTTGGAGTTGGCAGAGCATGTTCTCCTTCTCCCGTACGCAGCATTCGACGTTCAAACTACCGCTATCCCATCGGCTGGCGCTGGTGCTGCACTGCACGCACTCCAATCTCAAAAGCGCCGCACGCAGCGTTCCCAGTTACCCCAACCCAACTCAACCCAACCCATCCATGCACGCTGCCTCGCCAAGGTGAGTGCCGGTGTTGAATGTGGTGGGAATTCGGTTCTGTCAGGTAACACGCGGTAAGATGAAGGGTAATACGCGCCGCGTAGCCATGTTCGTTACTCTCTCCAGGCGCCACCTTGCCAAGGCGACTCCAGGACAGGTCAAGGCGACTGCAGGACAGGTCAAGGCGACTCCAGGACAGGTCAAGGCGACTGCAGGACAGGTCAAGGCGACTCCAGGACAGGTCAAGGCGACTGCAGGACAGGTCAAGGCGACTGCAGGACAGGTCAAGGCGACTCCAGGACAGGTCAAGGCGACTGCAGGACAGGTCAAGGCGACTGCAGGACAGGTCAATGCAACTGCAGGAGGTAAAGGTGACTGCAGGACAGATCAAGGTGACTAGGGGCCGAGGGGGGTTATTGGTGCCACACGGTAATGTGGGTTTATTGCCTCTCAGGTATCTCACACTAAGGCGGGCTGTTGGATTTATCCAAGGGGAATACTGCACGCAGCATTGCAGCGGCCGTGCCTCTCTCCCAGCGCCGCCTCGCCGGTTTGTGATATGGCTGGCTGGGTGGGTCAGGCTGCTGACTGCTTCTCGTGACTGCAGGTGAGGAGGTGGATATAGGGGTGCTGGTTAAGGTGGCGCCCTCATTCATTCCCCACTTACATTTGGGAAGGTTGGGAAAGATGAAGTTTCTTCTCAGAAGTTTCAGAAGTGGCTGGGTAAAGGTAATTCCGTGCAATGTGACCAGGCTATGAAGAAGAAGGCGGGTGGGCGAAGAAGTGTGTGGGCTATAGATGCTGGTTCTTCTGTCAGGTACTAACAAAAACTAAGGGGGAAGTGGGGGTGGTCTGTGCGTGCGGGGTGAGCGGTGCTGACTCTGGTGGAGGAAGGAGTGTATGCAGCATTCCCGTGCTCGTGATTATGTTCCGGTGCCGTCTAGCGAAGGTGACTAGAGGCTGAGGTGGGGAATTGGCTTCCTGTCACTCGGATTCCTGTCACTCTTGGCTTGACTCTTCAGTGGCTTCCTGTCACTCTTGCCTTGACTCTTCAAGCATGGGGATCCTGGTGATTTGTGACGGCAGTGGGGCCGTGCTTGCTCTGAAACGCCAGGCCCTGAAACGCCTGCCATGCCCATTCTTGACGACAATGGTGCCTCGCCAGGATAATGCCACGCACCCGCTGCTGCACCACCGCCGCTGCACCACCGCCGCTGCACCACCACCAGAGGCGCCATTGCCGGAAACGTCATGATTGCCTCCCAGCTGCGTGTGTGCGCCTCCTACATCCCCACGTGTCCCCTACATGCCTGGCGGTACTCTCATGTACTCCGAGTTGTCCTTACTACAATCACTTGCCGCCTGCGCGTCTGAGCCCCCATGCTACCATTCCTACCATGCTGTTGCTCCCTTGCCTCCGTCCCTGCTCCCTCCCTCTGCCAACTCCCTCGCCCGCTACTACTCCTCCGCCATACTCCACCCCCCTACTCCACCCCCAGCTCTGCACCTGAAACTGTCTCCCGCCATTTGTTTCATGGTCTCAGTCCCTTACGGTGTCTTACGGCACTGCCACACTGCTCACCTCCCCACGCCCTTTCCATCTCAAGCGGTCATTGTATTGATAAAACAAGGGTACAGCAAGGTGATGAGTTGCTAGGCAGGCGGTGTTCTAGGGGACTAGCCTCCTAAGGTAACAATCGGCAACTAGGTGTCGACCTAAGGGAGTTCAATCCCTGGCTCAACCTTTCTTTCCGCCCATGCCTTCCCCTTCTCGCACCCATCCAACCCAGACACGGACGCCCCCAGGGTGCTGCCATTGGCCTGCCATTGACCTGCCATTGACCTGCCATTGACCTGCCATTGACCTGCCATTGACCTGCCATTGACCTGCCATTGACCTGCCATTGACCTGCCATTGACCTGCCATTGACCTGCCATTGACCTGCCACTGACCTGCCATTGACCTGCCATTGACCTGCCATTGACCTGCCACTGACCTGCCATTGACCTGCCACTGACCTGCCATTGACCTGCCACTGACCTGCCATTGACCTGCCATTGACCTGCCATTGACCTGCCATTGACCTGCCATTGACCTGCCACTGACCTGCCATTGACCTGCCATTGACCTGCCATTGACCTGCCATTGACCTGCCACTGACCTGCCATTGACCTGCCATTGGCCTGCCATTGACCTGCCATTGACCTGCCATTGGCCTGCCATTGGCCTGCCATGCGCACTGACTACCTGGGAAACCTGCGGGTCAGTGGCAGGTCAATGGCAGGTCAATGGCAGGTCAATGGCAGGTCAATGGCAGGTCAATGGCAGGTCAATGGCAGGTCAATGGCAGGTCAATGGCAGGTCAATGGCAGGTCAATGGCAGGTCAATGGCAGGTCAATGGCAGGTCAGTTGCAGGTCAATGGCAGGTTAGTGGCAGGTCAGTGGCAGGTCAATGGCAGGTCAATGGCAGGTCAATGGCAGGTCAGTGGCAGGTCAATGGCAGGTCAGTGGCAGGTCAATGGCAGGTCAGTGGCAGGTCAATGGCAGGTCAGTGGCAGGTCAATGGCAGGTCAATGGCAGGTCAATGGCAGGTCAATGGCAGGTCAATGGCAGGTCAATGGCAGGTCAATGGCAGGTCAATGGCAGGTCAATGGCAGGTCAATGGCAGGTCAATGGCAGGTCAATGGCAGGTCAATGGCAGGTCAATGGCAGGTCAGTGGCAGGTCAGTGGCAGGTCAGTGGCAGGTCAATGGCAGGTCAGTGGCAGGTCAGTGGCAGGTCAGTGGCAGGTCAATGGCAGGTCAATGGCAGGTCAATGGCAGGTTAGACTCCATCGGGGGTGGTTGAGAAGCAGCCAGGGCCGGGGGACAGTTGACAGCTGGAGATCGCCAAGGTGAGAATCGGTGACGACGGTGGTCGGGGCCGGGGGCGGGGAGGATGATCTCGAGTCACTCGGCCCCGACGGTAGGACAAAGGAACTTGAGTTTTGCCCAGGTTGGAATTGCTGTATGTCGCTGCAAGTGGCGTTGGAATGGTTGCGAGGGTCAGTGGGGGGAGCTGATGGCAGGCCAGGTGAGTTGCGACGGTGAGACTCATTCCCACCTCCAAGAAGGGTTCTATTACGTCAGTGCAGGCCATCTACGTGCCTGCTGATGACTTGACGGATCCTGCTCCTGCTACCACGATCGCGCATCTGGACGCCACGCCACCACTGTGCTGTCTCGCCAGGTGAGGAAAGAAATCGTCTTTGTTGAGCGTGGAAAGGTGGGGAGAAAAGGTCAAGGATGTGAAGGGGCGGCTGAACAGGAGGCCCAAGAAGGGCTCCATCACGTCAGTGCAGGCGATTTACGTGCCTGCTGATGCTCTCACGGATCCCGCCCCTGCTACCACCGTCGCGCATTTGGACGCTACCACCGTCGCGCATTTGGACGCTACCACCGTCGCGCATTTGGACGCTACCACCGTCGCGCATTTGGACGCTACCACCGTCGCGCATTTGGACGCTACCACCTTCGCGCATTTGGACGCTACCACCTTCGCGCATTTGGACGCTACCACCGTCGCGCATTTGGACGCTACCACCTTCGCGCATTTGGACGCTACCACTGTGCTGTCTCGTCAGGTGAGCCAGTGTGTGTGCTGTAAGCTTCTAGTGGCTGGGTGGTTGGACGGGAGGGTGGGTGGGGTTCAAAGGGAGGGAATCACGTCACCAAGAAGGGCTTCGTCACGTCAGTGCAGGCCATCCTCTTGCCTGTCTCTCCGCCCGCTTTGGTCTTGCAGTCCCACTTTTGTCCACTTTGCCATAGCTGCTCTCACACCCTCCCACCCTCCCACCATCACCCTCTCTTCGTCCCACTCCCTCCCTCTCGTCGTCCCACTCCGTCCCTCTCATCTTCCACCCACTCCCACTCAATCTTCCACCCTCTCCCACTTAACCTTCCGCCCTCTCCCACTCAACCTTCCATCCACCCTCTCCACTCAACCTTCCGCCCTCTCCCTCATCTTCCTACCCTCTTAACTTCCCACGCTCCCTCTCATTTTCCCACCCCCTCCCTCTCATTTTCCCACTCGCTCCCTCTCCCTTCCCTTTGCCCACAATTCAAACAATCTGCAGATCTCCGAGTTGGGTATCCACCCTGCTCCACATAGCGCATGCTCTCCCCGTCCATCCTGGGCATGGAGCACTCATTTTTCTTTCCTATTCCTTTGTCCCCCTCTGCTTCTTGCCACTGCACATCTCCGAGTTGGGTATCCACCCCGCTGTGGTTCCCCTTGACTCCTCCTCGCGCATGCTCTCCCCGTCCGTCCTGGGCATGGAGCACAGAATACCCTTCCTTTGTCTCCCATCCTCCCCCACCCAGTCACTCTGCAGATCTCCGAGTTGGGTATCTACCCTGCTGTGGTGGGCCCTCTGGATTCCTCCTCGCGCATGCTCTCTCCGTCTATCCTGGGCATGGAGCACTACAAGAACCTGCAGGTTTGACCGCTTTCCTACTGTGAGTGGGGTATGTGGAGGGGATGGAAGGGGTCGGAAGGGTTCGGAAGGGGTCGGAAGGGGTCGGAAGGGGTTGGAAGGGGTCGGAAGGGGTCGGAAGGGGTCGGAAGGGGTCGGAAGGGGTTGGAAGGGGTTGGAAGGGGTTCCTCCACCACCTACTCTTGGCGTGCAGGAGGTGCTTCAGGACTACAAGAAGCTGCAGGAGAGACTGTTCCCACGCTATGGCTCAAGTCATCCTTAGTGCGTTTTTATTGATAGAGCATGAAATGCCTCACGAGCACTCTATGCCCCCCATCCTTGGGCAAACTTCCCATCCTTGGGCAAATTTCCCATCCTTTTTGTAACATTATCTCCTCCACTCCTCTTTCTATTTCAGGGTATCATTGCCATTTTGGGAATGGACGAGCTGAGCGAAGACGACAAGCTGGTGGTGGCCCGCGCTCGCATGGTTCAGCACTTCCTGAGCCAGCCCTTCCACATCTCTGCCCCCACTGATACCATCCTTCTCTGCTCTTTCTATTTCAGGATATCATTGCCATTCTGGGAGTGGACGAGCTGAGCAAAGACGACAAGCTGGTGGTGGCCCGCGCTCGCATGGTTCAGCACTTCCTGAGCCAGCCCTTCCACATCTCTGCCCCCACTGATACCATCCTTCTCTGCTCTTTCTATTTCAGGATATCATTGCCATTCTGGGAGTGGACGAGCTGAGCAAAGACGACAAGCTGGTGGTGGCCCGCGCTCGCATGGTTCAGCACTTCCTGAGCCAGCCCTTCCACATCTCTGCCCCCACTGATACCATCCTTCTCTGCTCTTTCTATTTCAGGATATCATTGCCATTCTGGGAGTGGACGAGCTGAGCAAAGACGACAAGCTGGTGGTGGCCCGCGCTCGCATGGTTCAGCACTTCCTGAGCCAGCCCTTCCACATCTCTGCCCCCACTGATACCATCCTTCTCTGCTCTTTCTATTTCAGGATATCATTGCCATTCTGGGAATGGACGAGCTCAGTGAGGACGACAAGCTGGTGTGGCCTGTGCGCGCAAGATCCAGCGCTTCCTGACCCAGCCATTCCATGTGGCTGAGGTCTTCACTGGCTTGCCGGGCAAACCTGCTTCCAGGTGAGGTCTCGGGTTCAATTCCTGCTGCTGTCACTTGATTGCACAGTCATGTGAAGGGGCGTGGCAGCAGGGGGCATGGCTTCCTGAGCCAGCCCTTCCACGTGGCTGAGGTCTTCATTGCCTCAGCGGTCAAATACGCCGATGTGAATGAGAGCATCACCAGCTTCGAGGTGGGTGGCGGTTGAGGTCTTGAGTTCGAATCTTGCTGCTGTCACTTGATTTCACTTTCATGTGAACGGTTGTGAGGCAGCCCGTTTACATGGCTGAGGTGTTTACTGGCTGGCCGTTTACCCTTCTCCCCTTATCCTGTCTCTTCTCTGCACACTCGCACAACCCCCTACACCACCCTATCCCCCTCACAGGGTGTGTTGGACGGCAAGTACGATGATCTCCCTGAGCAGGGACAGGCGTTCTACAGGGTGGGAGGCATCGAGGAGGTGGTGGTGGTGGCCAAGGCAGAGAAGCTCGCCAAGGAGCTCAGCTCCTAGGCTGTTTCTGCCGCTTTTGCTGCTTCATGGGGCTGCTGGTGCTGATGGTGCTGGTGGTGGTGGTGCTGATGTGATTGTTGTTTTCCAAATGCGATTTAGTACAGTTTGGTACAGGTTACAGTAGCTGCGGGTGTTTTGGAGTACAGGATTGTTTCAATTCTTTTCCCAGGATCTAAAGCAAGGTAGTTCGATTGAAAGCTGGCTGTTGTTGTTACATGCTATCTCAAAGCCAGCATAAATGCGGGAAGAGGATTTTACTCTTTCAATGTCGTACATAACAGAAGATTGTTCGCTTGACATCTCTGTGATACTTTACACAGCATGCCGACATAATACACTATACAGCAATAGCATTGTTGTGCATAAGGAATCCTAGTTGTGCCATATGCAGGACCGGTTCGTACGGGTTCAGAGTTATACAGAGCGACTGAGCAGCAGGCAGTAACCTACGGGTGGTGTTATGGCACCATGCAGGGGAGAAGTATCGCACAGGGGGTCAACCAGAAGGGCTATCGGAGAAACTCAGGAGAAGCTGATGATTTTTGTCCTAATGTGCTACTGCCAGCAGCCTGCTGCTAGAATCAGCTGCATTGTCCAGGATAGGAGGGTCGGCTAGAGTGTGTGCTGCTCATAATCACAGTTGGGGTGTGTGTGTATGTCAAGTTTTTCCTGTGCTCACGACCTCCTGGTGGTGTGGGCTTGAGTACTCTTGGGCAGCAGAGGCGTGTTCAGTGTGAGACGTGGTGAAGAGGTACAAACTCCTGACAATGGCTTAGCTCTGGGATTACTGTTGGAACGAAATCACCCGCTAGAACATCCCCAGTTGGGCAGATAATACTTTCAATAAAAAACTTCTACCAGTGTCCTAGTCGTTGCAACTTTCTGTGTCTTCTACTTAGTCGCACTTGCGGCGGCACTTCTTGATCTTCTTCTTGCACTTCTTGTAAGTGTGCGTGCACTTGTGGTGGTCATGCTTGTCGTCCTTGTTCTCGCGCTTGCACTCGCTGTAATCAGTGTTGCACTTCTTGTTCTTGTCCTCGCAGTCAGACCGGCACGACAGCATGCGCGGCGAATACAGGAACCGCCGGCTCACTCGGTATAACGCATCCACGAGACCTGGAAACAGGGAAGGCATGGAACGAACGAATTCAATCAAAAACGTCGCGTCTGAGGTTCAGTGTGATCTGTTACATC